AACAGAACAGTCACTCTCATGTTGCTGTGGTTCGATCCCCATATGCTCAAGCCATAGAAGACCTGCCCTGAAGGCATCATGAGCCAGCCAAAAAAACCCCAAAAAACAAAAAAAAAAAAACACTCCTCATACTACTGATTTCTTTTTGTCTTTGGTACCAGTAATTTAATTCGGGACCTTGGCTTACCAGGGAGGTGCTTGTTTCCTGAGCTATATCCCCAGCCCTATATTGCTAATTTTTTTTTTTTCAGTACCTGGGATCAAATTCACCACCTTGTGCTTGCCAGGCAAGTGCTGAGGCCACTGAGCTATCTCCCTGGCTCTATACTATTAATTTCTCTTAGTTCACGGAAAATAAAGGTTTGTATTAATATTGCTTAGGCAATTAAATGCATATATCTGGTATGCTGAGTAACTAATTTAAAGATAACAATATGCACTATATTAACTATTGTTACTCTCTTGTTTTGAAATTTTGTTTTACTTATTTCCTCTTTAAAATACAATTTTAAAAAGAAAGAAAATAAAATATCGCAGAAAAACAAAAAACAAAAAACTATTCCCTTTGCCCAATATAGTGGATAAAGTCCAACAAGCTTGGTTTTTGACAAGATCTTTCCTGGGCTTCTGCTTCCTCTTTGGGACGTATTCTACGCTCACTGTGAACACCCTCCCTGGGCGTACTGGCCACCGAGAAGCCCTGCAAGTTCCTAATACTGGGGCCGGGGAGATAGCTCAGTAGGATGAGCGCTTGCCCGGCGGGCGCAAGGGTCTGAGTTCAATCACCGGTTCCGCCAAAAAACCAAAAATAACAACAACAACAACAACAAGTTCCTAATCTAGCTGTTGTGTCACACCATCGCAGGCCTGCGGGCTTCCCTACCGTCGGGGGTGTTCTACTTCACACAAAGGAAGGCACCGCCTGCCACTCCTACCTGGATCGCGGCTAGAGGCTGGACCCCGAGCAACGCGGGGACTCCCAGGTCAGGAGCACTGTCAGCACTCCAACACTGGTGCGCGGACAATGTAGTCACAGCTGTTTCTTTTCCCCCAAACAGAACTCCTCAGAGTGAATGCAATCATTACGCACTGCAAATGTGTGATAAAGAAAAGAGTCTCTCTGCCAAAGCAAATCAAAGAGCTGATCCTACAACTCGTGGAAATTTAAGGAATCTGAAATACTCAACATACTCTCCCGAAAAAGAAGAACAAAATCAGAGGACTCGCATTTCCCGATTGTAAAACTCACTAAAGAGGAACAGGAATCAAGAGCACAGTACGAACATGAGGACAGACAGGTCCACGGAAGGGAAAGGAGAGCCAGGAAAGAAACGGCACCTCTAAGGTGAACCGATGTGCGGCGGGGGCTGGGGCTACTCGCTGGGGAAAAGTCTTTTCTAAGCAGCTGCTGGGAAGTCAGAGGGCCACAAGGAACACAAGGAAGCTGCAATCCCAGCACTTGGGACGCTGAGGCGGGAGGATCGTTGTGGGTTTGAAACCAGCCGGGGCTACAAAGGAAGCTCAAGGCCATTCTGAACTGCGCATAGTGAGACCCTGTCTCAAAAAGACAAAACAGAGGGCTGGGGAGATAGCTCCGTGGTCTAAGCACCTGCCTGGCAAGTGCAATGTCCTAAGTTCGATTCCTGGTACCACGTGTGCTGGCCCCGGAACTCCGGGCACATAGTAGAGGCCAGGGGACACACACCTGTAATCCCCGTGGTGGGGAGGCTGAGATAGGAGGATCATTATGAGTCCCAGGTGTGTAGCTGTGTAGCAAGACCCTGTACCAAATAAATAATTTTAAAAAATTTTAAAAAGACAAAAAAGAAAAAAATGAAATTAGATCCCATCCTCACACAAAAATTAACAAAATGGATTGTTGGGCCAGGGAGATGGCTCAGTAGAATAAGCGCTTGCCTGGCAAGCACAAGGTCCTGAGTTCAATCCCTGGTTCC